GCTGGCCGCTCATTCCAATGTCGTGACCTAATGCAAGCAACACTACTGATGTCTTACTTTGTAAATCAGTATGCAGCTCATCCGGAATAATTTACGGATAATATTGAATTAACACTGATATTCAACACTTTCTTCTTTGCATGCGCTATTGCTACCTTTTTATGGGTCAACACCTTCTTGGCTTTGAGTTCTGCTTCGCGTTCCACCTTCTTGGTCTCCTTTTCGGCCACCTTCGTCACTATTTCTTCGGAGGTTATAAGGCAACCGCCGTGAACCCAAGCGTCATCGCTTTTGGGGCACTTGTCCGCTGCGTGATTGCTTGGATCAGGCTTTCATTGATGCACAGGACCCTGGCAACATCAATGTCAATCCCTTGGGTACGCAGAAGTACAATAACTACGTTCTTGTAAGTGCATTCAGCCAACGCCGTTGATGCTATAGCCATTCTACTGCGGTCATGGAGTTCCAAATCCGTCCGTGGCTACGGTGCCGGGTGAGCGGCAAGGGTATGGTGGGTGGGTAAGCGCGACTGCGATGTTTGGCAAATGAGGTGTCATTTGCACTACAATGATTTCGCGGGCAAATTGCACAACATTCGTCATCAGTCATTGAGAGTTTTATTATATTTCAGAGGTATTGTATGATGTTGGTTGGCTAAATATAAGCCAATAAGGTTAGTGGCACGGAACCAAGTACAGTAGTCACGGAACTCTGGGCAATACGTTCATGTATTTTTTAATTGCTCTTCAATTGCTCATGCGCTTGAACATTCTTGACGCCTACGGCATCGACGAACTTGCCATCGATGTTCAGATGCCGACTGGGCGAGCTATGACAAACTTTGTCCAAGATGTATGTATCAACGAATAACGCTCTATCCGTGTGGGGACCAGGAGTGGCAACATGACCGAGTACGTGTGTACAAGTACATCTCCCTGCGATTGGCGAGTTGTGGCACGCCGTAAACAGCACCCTAACCACGGTGGCACCTATTACTCCGTAACCGAGCTACAGTTTGTCCACACACACTCGTGCACCTCCATGGCAAAACCATCCGAGCGTCAACTAGCCATGTTGCCCGCACTTGTTAGTTTGGTTCGGACCAACACTGGAATTTCCAGACGCGATCTTGTTGCTACCGTCCAAGATCTGGATGGTGTGAATTTGGAGTTAAAAAGGTCGGTTGTCTACCGTGTGAAAGATGCAGTCGTCCAGACCGATGTGGCCGATGTCGCAAGTTCAACTGCAACTTTACCTTCCATATTGTTGGCGTTTGAACGAGCCAATCCTGGGTCGCGTGTGGATTTCGAGCTGGACACCCATGGTCGGTTTTATCTGGCCTTTGTGTGCTGCAAAGTGTATGCTGATGCCCATCACTCCAACTTGAAGCTCGTTGGGTCCGATGGCGCACACTTCAAACACAAGGATTTCAACGGGGTGTTAATCAATCTGGTGGGTCGCAACGGGAAAAACGTCCCCATCGCCCTCGGTGTTGTGGCCAAGGAAACCAGTGATAACTATCACTGGTTTTTCCTAAACTGCATCCAAGCTGGGATCAACTTAGCTGAGTGCGCCACGTTTGTTGACCGCGGAAAGTCGCAATTTGCCGCCGACGCTTTGTCCCGAACGGGTCAGCAAGTGTGTTTGAAGTTTTGCACCCGGCATATCATTGGCAATCTCAAAAGCAAGTTTGGCCTTTCTGGCCAAAATTTGAGAATTGTGTGTGGAGACTCCAGTGAAACTGCGTCGGCGTATGACGGGTGTCTGGATCACATTGTGAGCTTGTTTGGTGCACCTGTGGCTACATACTTGAGGTCAATTGAGCCTGTAAAGTGGGTAGTGTACGCCAACATGCTTTCGTCGACTGACCTAAGCCGCAGACGGCTGTACAACTGCAGGACAACGAATTTCGTTGAATCCGACAACAACAAAACGCTTCAGAACAAGTGCAGGCAGTCCTTACCAGCCCAGGCGGTGGTAATCTCAATCGTCGAGTGTGCAAGGGACGTTGCCAACAGAAGTAAATTGGCGCAAAATGGGCGGCGGAGGGACGCGTTGTCACACCTTATGCGTCTGGCAAAGTTGAAATCAAGAAGTCGTTGGCATCCTCGTACAAGGTTATCCAATCAAGTGACGTATACCACCATCACGGGAGTCCAAGAAACGCAAAGTTCTTCTGAGTGAACTGTCGAGCACTTGTGTAGAACGAGATCAAACCGGGCTGCCCTGCCGCCACTTAATTCGGGTGTTGATGGAGACTGCACGCAGCCAACGCAGATGAACAAGTAGACGAGTTGGATGCAATAGTAGAACTGTAATGAAGGCGAAGAAATCCAATAATCAAGTAGCACAACAACAATACATTTAACACGCATCGAATTGGATTCATGTCGCAACTGCGCCTCCGTGCAACTTCTCAACACAAACACAATGTTGGGGGAGCAGTGGACTCCCGGGCAAAGCTTGGTGGTGTATTGAGCAGTTGGAGGCAAAACTAGAACTGAACTACTCACTAACTGACTAAACTAACCCTATACTAACTCTAAGTCTGAATCCCCTTTTGGTTCCACCAATCATCGGAGACTAGACCTGGCCTTTCCTGACCCTAACCCTTCCTGCTCGCACCACACACCGCGCCGCCCGAAGCCGTCCACCGCAGACCGGGCCAGGCCGCCCGAATGGCTCCAGCCAGGCG